CTCCTAATGTGTTTTCTTGTGTTCTGTTATGATAAGTGTTCATAAAATAGAAGAGGATATTACTAACTTACCCTGTGGTGTCTTGGCCCATTTGTTTTTCTTCTATTTTCCCTCTTAAATTCTGGATTAACTTTCAGCCTTCTTTAGAGTATCTGGGCTCTGTCTTTGACTACTGAATTTGAATTTTACCGTCAGAGATCAAATACTGGATTTTGCTTTCTTCTGCCCTTACTGCCCTTTTTGCCTCCGATCATTCATGGCGTTTCTTCTTTCAGGGCCAGTAACACCCTTTTTTGGTGAGCCTTTCAATGCACAATAGCAACTTTTCTGGCAACTGAAGTGTTATAATCTGTTTTTTGAGTTAAGGTATTGACAGGGAGGGCTCTTGCCTTTATTGCTTCATTTATCGTGGTTATTGCATATCTAGCTTTACGTCCTCTTTTTCTAGACGAAATTTTTCCTGTGAACCAGAAGTCTATAGCATCTTTCAGGAGGTTCTTCTTTCAAGTCTGGTCGGCTGGAGTACGTTGCTCTTATTGTCTCTAAGCAGCCATGTGCAACTGTATTTTTGGTGGCTTCTTGAAGAAAAAACTGGATTGATTATTTTGGTCAATCAGTGTGGCTTGGTATTTCAGAAAGCGCTGAGGTGAAAGCCAGTGATTTAAATCCAGGGCTGGAGCCCTCATCAGTTTTGTTTTAGCTTATGAAAAGCTTTATCAGTTTCTTTACCTCAAGTGAGTATGTTGGACTCACCTTTATGAGTTCACACAGGGGCTCCACCAGAAGTCCGTAGCTGTGGATCTACAAACGACATTATTCGGTCCCTCCGAGCAATGTTCGGAGCTCTTCCTTCTCCTGTGGCCCAGGAGTCCAGCAGACAGCTTCTCTCTTTGCTGGTTTTGGGGTTCGTTGTCTTGCAGCCACCTTGCAATCGAGGCAGGAGACCTGCTGCACAGCTCTTAGTACTCAACCAATCTGAGACAGTTTAGCGTGTTAACAGTTCACCCAATACATATTATTTTGGATTTTCTTTCTCGTGCGAGGATTTTCTCATTCAAAAGCGAACAGTGATTAACTTTCAGGGCTCCAGGGCAGGCAGAAGAAAGCATCCTCCAGATCTAGGACAGCAAACTATTTTAGCTCTGGTGTCAATTTAGTCAGCAGTGTACATGGATCTGCCACTATGGGGTGCAAGCCCCCAGCCATCTCATTTATTGCTCTAAGATCTTGCACTATTTTATACTTCCCATCAGGTTCCTTTACTGGTAAGATGGAAGTATTATATTTTTATTTATATTTTTTTAATAACTCATGTTTAATAAACTTTTCTATATTGTGTTGAATTCTTTCCCGATTCTCTATTTTAGGGGATATTGTTTAATCTTTATTGGCTGTGCCCCTAATTTAACTTTTACTTCAATTGACACTGTTATTTTTGCTCTTCTTGCAGTTTTCGAAGCTCATACTTTGATCATACTTCTTCATGTATGCTGCTTGAACTTTGAGTGTCTATTAGGGCAAGATTTAAAATCTCAATCAATTGCTCCTTTTTACTTTGAATTTTATTTTGTTCTGTTCAAATTTAATTTCAGCTCTCAATGGCTCTAGTAAGTCTCTTCCCAATAAACTTTAAACTGGTGAGTTTGGCATATATAAGAATCTGTGGATTTCAAATTGCTTTCCTAATTTGTATTTTAAAGGTTTCAAGAAATGAGCTTTTTCTGTTTGACCCATGGCTCCCCTTATCAATACAAAACTTACAGCAGTGGGTACTAAAGTTTGATTAATACTTAAAATACAGCTCTTGTATTGATTAGAATTATGCTTCCTGATTTTTGTTCTTTTAGCTTTTTTGTATTGGGGATCTTGGGGCTATTTATAGCCTTTTAGGATTCAGCACAGCCTCTTAGGATTCGGTCTAGCCCCCCTTTCCCCAGGATAGCTGTAGTAATCAGGAAGTATAAAAGATTGTTAAACTGCCAGGACAGAATATTTACAAATCAGAAGATAACAAAAGACAAATATAATAGTCATGGTATTATCTAGTGTTCTGACAGTATTATTCAAAATTGCCTTTCTTTGGTTAACTTACTAATATTCTCAATATCTTCCCAATTTGATATCATTACCCCCAAAGGACTGGTAGGGGTAATATCCAGCAATGCCTGCTTGGGCAATGCCTGCCTGCTCCCTTTTCTCTTGGGGCTACCTTTCTTACTGAATCCTTGCCCCATAGTTTTCCGAGGTCCCTTCTAGAATCTCCCCCCCGACTCTCTGGGATCCCTTCTAAGCTCTCCCCACTGACACAAAGGTTTCTCCTTAAGACTTTTCCACCGACCCCAGAGGTCCAATCACCAATTCTCTCACTGGCTGTTCCATTCGCACGGAGACAGAAACGCAGTTAGAAGGGCTACCACAATCACTTCGCGTCTCATTCACTCATCCACTCTGACCTCTTATCCACCCAACCAGGGAATACTCACAGTCCGTTGTTTTTCCCTGGGTCTTCGTGCACGAGAATTATGGGCCCTTTTTGCTGCAGCAATCCGGGAGCAATCCTTGCTTTTACCATATAACCATATAACGTGTTACTCCAGTCCTGTGGAAAATTAGACCCGAAATAGGGCGCTGAATTCAGCGGGGGGCCCCCCTGTTTCGAGTACTAATTAACCCAGCAGGACTCGGAGAACATCACGTCGGAAAAGTCACCAATTGTGATAAACAAAGTCTCGAGTTTCTATAAGTTTCGAATAATAGTTTATTATATGGTAAAAGCAAGCAGCCAACTGGGTGACAGAAATGGGACCAGTTTCCCAATTCTGCACACCCCTACTACAGGGTACATTTAGTATTTATCTTAGCTACTTCATGCATATTAAATATATCATATACCTATACATTCTACAGGTTTTTGCTAAGTATTTAATATATGGGTTTTCTTACAGCTAAAGCTAAATGGTTATTGCTCCAACCAGTCATAATTGACGTATTCTGGGACGAACAGGCACCTAAAAATTTAAAGTTCTACTATATTTTATTCTTAGGATAGTAAGGAGGTTTTAGGCCTCTTGACCTTGTAGGGGTCTGTTTTATTTCTTTATGGGGGTGTAATTAAGTTTTACAATGCGTTTGTTTTATTTTGATGTAATCACCGATTTGTTTAATGAATCACAATTATTTATATATCACAGTTCCCTAGGAGGATCAGGGATCCAGGGGTTTTGACCTTGTGCTGGATCATTGGGCACAACTTCAGATTTCAGTCAGTTCAACTTTTACCCAGTTTAAGGAGTGGATTCTGGTCTATGTCCCTAGAAATAGGCAAAATCTTTCTCAAAATCTACTCATTTCACACACTGACATTTTTAATTAGAGGAACCTGGCTCTCATCCCTGTTGGTAAGCATTGGCCTGGGGCCTCTGGGCATCACCTCCCAGTCAGTTCCACAATGGGTGTGCATCTGCAGACAGTGGGTGCTTCCCTCCTCTGAAGCATGTGCTCCAAGGATATATCTGCTGATGGATATGAGTTGCTGAGACAGTGGAACAACAAGGCTTTATACTTGAGAGGTGGCACTCATCTATCCTGGACTTGATCAGGCTCTGTCAGGTTGGAGGCAGACTGTGCTGCTTCCATATGCAAACCCAAGCGATTAGTTTCTGCCTTTGAGGGGGAAGGATGCAAAGAATTCATTTCACAGGCTGATTATTCAATGACAGCACTTTCTTGTGGGCACTGATCATAAAATGGCCTCTCTATATAAAATTCTCTTCTTTCCACAGGAATTCAAAAAAAGAGCTCAATGATATCCGGTTTGAATTCACCCCAGGGAGAGGTGAGCTGGTGGGAAATTGCAGTGTGTGTGAAGGGGAAGTTTTGTGTTTGGTGTTGTGCAGTTGTGTGTATGGAACCCCTGTGTGAGTGTCTGTCCATGGTGCCTTCCTAAAGGGCTCCTTGTGGCTGAGCTTGGAGCTCTGCTGTTGAGAAGACCCTTCCTGTAAAACTGTTCATGGATATGGCCAAAGTGCAGCCCTTTGATTAATTCCAGTGAATTCACAGCTTAGCTCAGAGCTTTCTGACTGCACCTGGTGTGCACCCTATTGTCTGTCTTCTGTAAAGAACACTTTTGCTGTCGGGTTTGTACAAGCTCCTTTAGGTTTGTGTGTGATGCCTCCATCAGCTGGACAATCTCTGCTCTGTGGTGACGGCTCTTGGGTTTCTCCCCAACAGATACTGCGGACGGTGTGTCCCAGGAGCTCATTTCAGCAGGGCTTGTTGATGGCAGAGATCTGGTAATAGGTAATTACATATTATTTTTTCTACTTCTAACCATTTCAGTCATTTTTTGCATGTTTAAAATGACCTGATCAGTGTGTGCTAGGAGAGTTTGCTGTGGCCTTGATTCTGTACTCCAGTGTCTCTACACAACTGCTGTCAATTCTGGTGACAGTTCTGTGCCAGTACGTGTAGGCAACCCCCAGTTCACAAGAATATGATTTAATTGGAAACATTATGAAGCAAATGTTCCTTGTAATGCAGAATGAAGTCTAATTGATGCATTAGCTAAATCATTATCATCTGACATAGATGCATTGCCAAATTGCTGCACAAGCCTGTCCTGCTCATGGGTCCTGCACAAGTTGAGACTGGAATCAGCCAGGCTTTGGGGTTTTGATTAGGACTGGGGAAGGAAGTGCGAGGTGCATGTGCTCTGGGGCAGCAGCACAAGTCATGTGGGGGTGAACAATTACCTCAGACAACAGTTTGCTAAACAAACCTGTCCTTCTGTGCAGCAGTTGAGGCTTTTAAACACAACAGCACTGCCTGGGTATTTCAACTACAGCAAGCAAAACTGTTCCTTATGCACAGGCAGCAGGATCTGGAAAGGCTGGTAGTGCAAAATTAACTGGATTTCCAGGTGCAGCTGGGCAGCTTATTACTACTAATCCCACCACATCCAGGGAAAAATAACTACCTCTGAAAAAGTAGCAGAGTAACAATGACAGCATTTTCAGTTTAAAACTTTAGATTTAAGGAGATAGAGTCTAGTTGAGACCTAAGCATTTTTTAATAATTGTAAAAATTCAAAGTTTGCTAAGTAATACAAAGAGGGCTGATGAGTTTGGGATATTTTTCTCTAGCCTGTCCTAATATTTGCCTGTTCTCTTTTTGTGTGTGTGTGTGTGTGATTTCAGTTGCAGCTAATTTGCAGAAAATTGTGGAAGAGCCCCAAGCAAACAGATCCGTCACTTTCAAACTGGTATTTATTCCTGTTCCCTAATTGAACAAGTTGTCCCTTTCAAGGAGAAGGCATTACATGTAGATGTCTACTGCAGGCATCTGATGTATGCACTCTAAATCCTCTCTTCTTTCCCAAAGCTTCCTACTGGTTGTCTGACTGTAGGCAGTGCAGGCTCCCTGCTTATATCCTCTGAGCAGCACCTGGGTTAAATAAGTGTGAGATGATGTGCTAATACAAGCATTACCTTATCCTTGGTAATAAACGTATCAAAATGTTACAAGGGGGTGTTTTGGGCACTTGGAATATACACTTACAGAAATATTTCAGGGCTAAGAATTGCATGGACTCCTTTCTTGGAGGAGGAGAATGAGGAGGGTCCAGATAACATTGTTCCTGAGGAGGAAATGAGGGAATGAAGAAGAAAAAAGGAAAACAAAGAACTGTGGGGCAAAACTGACAGCAGATAGGCTTGGAGAGCTGAGAGAACTGCAGGTGACTCTTTGAGAGGAAATGATATTTGGAGGTAGTTACAGTGGCAAAGAGAAGGTGTAACCAGGTTACTGGGCATGAAGCACTAAGTGCCATTATCTTTTGCTCTTTCTTGTAAGGAGTTTTCACTTGTTTTGCCCCAATTATTGCAGGTAACCCAAGTCAGAGCAGCCATTGGCAAAACTTCAGTCCCAGCCCTTTGTAGCTTCAAAAAAAAGAAACAAGAAAATGAAAGTACTCAATTTTAACTTCGGGCAGTGTGAGCTGCTGAATACAGTGCAAAGCTGTCCCTTGTCTCCTCCCTCCCCACACCCTGATACACCTTCTTGTGGTTTGCATTGGAGAGTAGAGCATGTGTGTTGCTATTTGGATCTCTGTTCCTTGTTTCAGGCGTCTGGTGTCGAAGGCTCGGATATCCCGGATGATGGCAAACTTATAGGATTTGCACAGCTCAGCATCAGCTAAACAATGGTCCCAGGAGATGTTTCCCAACTGAGAACCCACATGTGCATATTCGTAATGCTTCTGTTAGCCTAAAAAAAAAAACCACTACTGCCAAAGAATTGAACTACATCCCCCTTCCTAGAAGCTTTAACATTTTCCTTAATAGGATCACAAACCTTCCTGAAATTACCGATGACGTTTACACCTTTTGTAAACAACTCTCATGTTTTTGTATCTGTCATCTCAAAACATGCAGACCCAACACGTCATTGCCTGCATGTTCATTTTATTATTGCCTTACTTTAAAGAAAAATACTACTGAGTACGAAGCAGGGGGTTCCACTGCTCTGATGATCTTGCCTAAATGTTTGCTTACATGTGGTTTCATTTTTTTTCACTTGCTATTTTTGCACAAGTTTTAATACTGAACGGATTTTTTTTTTTTGTTCTTTACCTGCTTCTCCTTCTATCTGAAACACCAATGTACATGTTGTTTGGGTCACCCGGAGTGCTGAGAAATCTGCTTCTCTTTGGCTGTGTGTTTTAAAAGTGCTGGTTTGAATGCTTGCACCTAAGAAAGCAAGCTGAGTCTTAACCCACAGGAGGGAGAGCCGCCTTCCCTTGTGTTTGTGTTTTTGAGAAGTTCCTTGACTTTTGAGGTGTTAGAAGTCAGCTTCCCTTTGTAAACTGCCTTAATTTTATTTTTTTTTTTTTTACCATTTTGGTTCTCTCCACATGAGTGCCAGGCGTGGCATGAGGGCTGAACCTTTTAATTTACGTTAAGCAGTCCTTCCTCAAAACGTCTTTCATCCTGCATCTTAGATGTAGTCTATTCTTGAAGCAGACCAGTGAGGCATTGCTGCTGGTCTTTCAGATGATGAACACAATACCCGTGGTCAGAGGGAGAGGAGATCTGTGTCACCCTGTGTTTGGGAAACACGCACTTCAGACTGTTCCTCAAGCCCGGTTCTGCCATGCCTGGCTGCGCAGAGAGTCCTCCCGACGTGTTTTCCCAGTCCTTCGCAAACTGGTACCCCTGGAACCACCCCTGTCGTGTTTTACAGCAATAAAGAATCGCCAGCAGAGTGGTTGTACTGGGCAAGCGGGCGCCGGGCTGTGTCCCTCCTGCACTAACGGCCTGGGCCGGCACCTCCTCGCCGGCCGAGCCCCCACGTTTGATCAGGATGTCACTGAAACCCCGTCACACACGTATTTAGCTTTTCTTTCTATGTGGTGTTGAAGTTGAGTTTCTACATGAATAATATAAATTATGCTCTGAGTTTGATAAGAGACACTTGTAATGCAATATGTGAATAATAAATGGTGTTGACTCTTTTTTTTTTTTTTCTTTTTCTTTTCCTACTGTTTCACAGTTGGCCTTTGTAACTGCTCTTGGCTCTGGAGTGTTTTCTACACAGAAATCGTTAAGTCTGTAATTTAGCACGCAGATGGAAATGTGTTTTGTTTCCATCAGCCACAAACAATGCAGAGCAGAGTGTTAAAGCAGAATGACTGAGTCCAATAAGGACTTTTTTTCTTTTTTCAAAGTCTNTTTTTTTTTTTTTTCTTTTTCTTTTCCTACTGTTTCACAGTTGGCCTTTGTAACTGCTCTTGGCTCTGGAGTGTTTTCTGCACAGAAATCGTTAAGTCTGTAATTTAGCACGCAGATGGAAATGTGTTTTGTTTCCATCAGCCACAAACAATGCAGAAACAGAGCAGAATGACTAGGTTCAATTAGGACTTATTTTAATTTCCAAGTCTTCAGATGAACAATCTGTATTTATATCTTGTTCTCTATGAGCAGCTGTGGAAGCTTCCGGAAATGGTGCATGTTCTTTTTGTACCACCCCTGTTGCTTTTAGCCTTGGGTGGATTTTGGGTATGTCCCCGTGGGCTCTTTGCAGCCCCGTGGCTGGTGAGTGTGGAGGGGAGGGAGAGGAGGAAGAGGATTTGGGAGCGAGAGCATCCCAGGGTGTTGAGCAGATGCTCTCAAGAGCCCAGGAGACAAGTGCCCGATACCAGGGAGTTGGTGGTGGCTGGATTTGGCCAAGTGCATGTGGCACCTCTGGCACTATTCCCTGTTGTCTGACACAAAGCACTCCCCACAGCATTCCCCGATGAGCTGCTTGGCTTGGGAAGAGCAGGCTGGCACCATGATTTTCATGTCACCCTGTGCTCAGTATGGATTTACTGGAAACCTTTAGGATACAGAGACGAGGTAGTTGTGGTACAGTATTATTTTCCCCTCTGCCTGCATGCGATGGGGACCTCCTTGTTCATTTGTGTACTGGTGCTGAGGAAGGTAGGACTCAAACTGCTCAAATGGAACAATGCAGCATCTATTTATTGTTATTCCCCATCTTCCCAAAGCCAGGACTTAGAGAGCTTGAGCTCACACTAACCCACGGCTCCGTAGTTCTTTAATGGAGAAAATAAGTAAGGAAGAAACTGATGGTTTTTGCTCTATAGATCTCCAGATCTTTTGGGTAGGGATCCAAAGTATTTACTTGGGCTATTACAGTGCTAGACAACTGTCTTTTCTGATGTTGTTCCAGTAAGTGCCAATGCTGTTCATAATTGTTTTCCAGTGTCATTAAGAATTTGGTTTTTGTGCAAATCTGAACCTGGAAGCAGGTGGTAATTTTAAGTTAGTTCCTACTTTTAAGGACAATGCTCTGTTAATGAAAACGGATCCTCTTCACAACTTTGGTGTATTGTAGATTATAATGAAAGATGTAAAATATTCAGGCTTTTTTTCCTTTTTTGGACTTTGTATTTTACTGCATGTCTCTAATTTTTAATCAATAAAGAACAAATTGTCCATTGCCAGGTGTTTGGTGTGTGGTTTATATGTCATTGGGTTGAATGGTGTGTCTTGGGGAAGGGGTTTGTCCGAGTGGTGTCTGCAACCCCTGGGGCATTTCTCTTTGGTGTGGTGGGAGGTTTGACAACCCCCAGGAAGACTTGGTGGGGAAAGGGAGATCAAGACCAGGGTGGATGGGGCTCTGGGTAATGTGGTCTAGAGGAAGGTGTCCCAGCCCATGGCAGGGATTGGAACTGGAAGATCTTTACGGTCCATTTGAACTCTGTTGGATGATTCTGTGCTCTGCAGGAGTTGCATGCAGAAGTGGAGCCAAGAGGGCTCTTAAGATGTTGTCCTGAGGCCTTGTCTGCAGCTGAGAGATTTGCTCCAAGCTCTGCATGCCTTGTGCCAGCTGGGAATGAGCTTCCCCTGTCCAGAAACACCTCAGGGTTACACGGGCTGGTATTAAAGTGGGATGATTTACACCCTGAGAAGTGTTTGGAGCATGAACTGCATTCCCTCCTCACCACCTCCACAGTAATTGTTCTGTCTGAATTTGAGGCTCTGGGGCAGATGTGATCCAGAGGTACTTTCCTTTGCTTTCCTTCAATATTGTTTCTTGTCCACCTTCCACAAATTTTCAGGAATGAAGGGAAATGTTGCCTGAGAAGTAAAAAAAAATCCCTAGTATTTCTCACAGGAGGTCCTTTTGGAAATTTTTCCCTAATATATTTCCTAATACATAAAACCTGTTTCCAAGGTGCCCTGTTCATTCAAATTCTGAGAGTTTTGTTGACTTGACTTACCGAGAGCTTAGTGGGTTTTGTTAGAGCAAGGTCATAGTGTCTCCATTAGGAGAGACAGAACAGACTGTGGGAACAGAGAAGTTTCTCTGAAATGGCAGGGACTGTCAAGGGCAAGGTGTGTGTCTTTTAGGAGGTGATGGGGATGGTCCAGTCCTAGCCATGTTCACCAGGCCTTTTGGCTGGGATGCACCCCTCTGTGTCTCCTTAAAAACAAACATGTTATTGCTTAAAACCAAAGAAAAGACCCCCACCAAAACAAACAAACAAAAAAGAAGTGTTGGTCTTGCTTGGTGGCACTTCCTAAGCTTCCTCTTCCATTGACTCTCTAAGGCTCTTGGGCTTAGTTTGCCACTTTCTGACTCTGTTTCTTTTAAGGTGTTCCTCTTTACCCACAGATCCAGAAAACCTTACCTTGGGTAACTTGCAGATTTGAGACATGGGATGGTCCGGGATGCTCTGGGTTAGGGAATCCCATCCTCTACACCTAAGCCAAAATCTTCCCAGTATTTTGCCAAACCCTGCTTAGAAAGCCCCAGAGAATTATATCTCAGTTATGTCTCCCATTCCAGCCTCTGTAGGGAATCTCCTTATGGACACTGCTAAAGCCTTTCCATGCTGCCTTTTAGTCCAGTGCCTCCTTAGTCTTCCTGTGGTTATCAAGTCCACCCCAATTCCCTTCATCCTTGGAGGCTTCCCTTTCTGAGTGCTCATACTGCCCATGCCTGTGGGCTTCCCTGCTCTTCTTAACTGCATTCTGATCACCTTCTCCAAGTCTTTCCTCCTAGATGATGAATTTTCAAATGGAATTCCCCATGATGGTGTGCACCTCCTGAAATTTCACTTAATGGAACAGGTCACTCAGGTTTGTAGCACTGTTTTATTTCTGATTGTTTTGTGGTGTTGTAAGTGGTGTTTTGATGGTTGAGGTGCCTGGAAGAATTGCTCTTCCTGTGCATTGACTTTGGTGCACAAAAACTTCTCAAATTGCAGCAGATTAATTCCTCCTGACTTTTACGAAAAGCCAGGGACAGGTGTGTCATGGACATGTGCCCTGGTCAGGTCCTGAGGAGATGATCCCAGCCCAGAGATGTGACTCAGCTCCAATCAACTATTGCTGCCTCCTCACCTCTTGTTGGAAGCCCCCAGCAGTGGCTTCCTGCTCTTTCCCTTGGTCCAGGGCCTCAGTGTTCTCCAGTCTCCTGTAAATGTGATGCCCAGCTCAAGTTCTCTGATGCCAGTCCTCTGGCTTCTCCTTCTCCAGATCTGTGAGCCCCATGACTGGTGCCTGACTAACCCTCTTGGGTTTTCCCATTTAAACCCTGGCAGAGAAGAGTGGAAGAGGCTGCTTTGTGCCCCAGACTCCATCTAGCACAGAGCTAGAGACAGCCAGGGGAGATGGCAGGACCAGGGCTGGGAAAGGCTCCTGAACTCCTGGCCGTGTGTGACTGCTTTTAGCCAAGTTCGGCCTGACCTGTGTCCTAATGAAGCAGAGCCCAAGCTGAACAGGGACACGATTTCATCCTCCACCTGAGTTTCCTAATTGACTTGAACAGATCCAATTTGTGTTGTCCAGATCAGTGTCTGCCTGATTATCCCTGCCTTCGGTGCTCCCTGCTTGTCGTTGCTGAGCTGGGCTTATCCCGAGGGCAGCGTTTCTCTCCTGGCTCCCCAGGGAGCTGCTCTACCGCCAGGCTGGAGCTGTGTGGGTGTCTTGGTCAACCCCAACAGGGCAGCCATGGTCTGATTTCCATCTTGTTTATACAACGGTCTTTCTGTGGATTTGTGGGCAGGAGAAGAAGCATCCAAATTGCTTTTGGATACCTCTGGAGGCTTTGCCTCATGGACATCTCAAAGGGGCCCCAGGCAAATGCTGTTCCTACATCAGGGAATGACCTGAACAGCGCTGGACTCATGTTCTCAATTATTAGTTCAAGGCATTTGAGCTGAGATTTGCCAAACCTGCCTCAGGCAGCGTTGCCCCGTGTCAAATTTCTCCAATCCCTGTACTCCTTCTTCAAGTCTTCCTGCATATAACCATGACTGTTCTGTGAGGTGGCCCAGAACTGGTGGGAAGGGTGGACTTTCCGTGCCTGACTTACTCGTGGTTTCCACAGGGAAGCTGCAAAAGGTGAAGGAAATGGCAACTCTCATCACCTGGGACCACAGTGAACTAACTGCCCTTCTTCATCTGTGACTCTGCCCGTGCATTATCATCAGTCCCTTTATTCCTCTGGGCTTTTGGTCCCTCTGGTCCTCACTTTTCTGAATGGTTCAGCAAATGCAGCCTTTGCAGTCACTGTTCCCCTGTCAATGCCACTTGGCAGAGGGGGTGGCCCAAGTTCCCTGAAATGGGGTCTTTCTGCTCCAGCCAGCCCTGGATGTTTGTGGGTGGCACAGGGATGATTAATATATTACATGGTGTACTTGTGGTGACAGCCTATGAGTGCAGAGCTTATCTTAGGTTTAAACATTAATTCCAGCCCTCTGGGAAGTCTGTCCCAGCACTGTCCTGCTCCAGACACGGTTACCAATGTCAGGTGTGGGGGAAATTTTGAAAGCAATTGGCGATTTTGGGCCGTTTCAGAAACGCCTGGTGCTGCTCACCCTGATCCCCTGCCTCAGCGTGGCTTTCCACCAGTTCTGCCAGCTTTTTATGGTTTTGGATGTTCCCCACCACTGTGACACCAGCTGGATCCGCACCGTCGGCCCCAACCTGACGCAGGAAGAGCAGCTGAACCTCACCCTGCCCCGGGATGCGGACGGGGAGTACGAGCAGTGCTCCATGTACTCCCCGGTGGACTGGGACCTGGACTCCATCGTGGCATACGGCCTGAACGCCACGCAGAAGTGCAGCAGTGGCTGGGTGTACCCAGCAGAGCCACCATCCCTGCTGACCGAGGTCTGTAATCGCCTTTCTGAGGAGATGGGGACGTGGAAGGGATGGGACACCCAAACAGCCGCCCTGTCCTGCAGTTTCCCCAAAAGCTGGTGCCTGACCATGCTGCAGCTGGGCTGGGCTGAGGTTTACATCAGGTGTATTTTGGGGAAATTGGCTCCACCACCCAGCCTCAGGTGTGGTCCTGGAGAGGCTGCAGGCAAAGCAGACTGTGATACAGGTGTCAGTGTCAGAGCCAGTGGAGAGATTAATCACTCCTGGTGGGACCTTCTGGGTTTCCCTACCCCTCTGCCTTACAGGGGGTAACCTTCTAATTTAAAATCATAGAATGGTTTGGCTTGGAAGGGACCTTTAAAAATCATCTAGTCCAACCCCCAGCATAGAAGCTGGTAGCTGAGGAAGAAGCTAAATTAAGATGAAGGAGGGTAGATTTAGATTAGATATTAGGAAGAAATTCTTTCCTGTGAGTGTGGCAAGGCACTGGCACAGGTTGCCCAGGGAAGCTGTGAATGTCCCATCCCTAGAAGTGCTCAAGATTGGACGGGGCTCTGAGCAACCTAGTTGTGGAAGGTGTCCCTGCCCAAGGCACGGGGGTGGAACTAGATGATCCTTAAGGTCCCTTCCAACCCCAACCATTCTATGATTCTATGAGCCTCTCTGTGTCACTCTTTCCATAGATGCCCTCTGGTCACTGGCAGTTGCAGAACTGCTTGTCCCAGGAATCAGTATTGCACTCATCCTTTCTCCTCTGGGAGGGCAGGTGGCCTGGGAGGAATCAAACTGCTGGGATTTCTGTCCCCAGTCCCACCTGAAGCAAAATTTGCCAACTAGGAGGTTCCCCTGGGGGGTGCCTGGACTAGGTGGAGGGGACTCCTCTATGTCCCAGTGCTCAGGAGAGGGGCACCACTGAGTACCCCAGGGACTTGTCCCACCTCTTGTCCCATTTGTGTGCCCTGTGCATATGGTGGAGATTCATATCCTGGGAGGGAGGGATCCAAAAGCACCTCTCTGTTTGTCCTTTCTTCAGTTTGACCTGGTGTGTGACAGGAAGGACCTGAATGACATTGGCCAGGCCATCTACATGGCGGGGCTGCTCCTGGGATCCATGATCTTTGGGCCGCTGAGTGACAGGTGAGGAGACACAACCACCCACCCCAGGTCTGTGCAAAGCCAGAGTGCTGGTCTGAGCCTCTCTGGATGCTGCACACTGTGCATTTTGTCAGTGCTCCTCACTCACGGGGACCTTGACCAAAGTCCTCGGTCCCATGAGGACATGGCCACACAGGGAGGGGAAGGGAGAGAGACACAGCATGTGTGCACAGGGTCCTTCACTTGTCAGCCCAGAGTGTAGTCTGAGCCTTATCACCCTCCAGGGTGATAAAATCACTTGCGTAACCTGCTGGGCTCCTCCCCATCTCCACGGGGTCTCTCCAGATACCAACTGTGTCTCCCTTCCTTCTCCGCAGGATCGGCCGCCGGCCAGTCATTCTGATCTCCGTCATCCTCCAGGGCTTGTTTGGTCTGGGAATTGCCTTTGTGCCCCATTTCTATGTGTACATGGCCTTCAGGTGTGTCGTGGGGGCTTCGGTGTCAGGGATCACCATGACAATACTGTCGTTAGGTGAGTGGGACGCCCTTGCCCTGAGGCAAATGGATGTGGCCTGTCAAGGTGCAACAGGAAATGTCTATGAAGAAATAAAAATCATCATGTATGACTAGAAAAACACTGCTGCAAGGACAGGTCGTGCTCTGCACTGTTTCTTTGGCACTTTGGCATCTCCTCAACCCTGAGGGAGAGCCACAGGGAGCCTCTCTCCCCTGCCAGTGCTCAGAGGAGGGAAAAGGGACAGTGTCCCAGCTCAGGAGGCCAGTGCAGAGAGAGAGCTCAGTGGCTCTGGAACATGATCAGTTTGGGTTCCAGCTCTGCCCCAGTCAGGGATTCTGTGGACTCTGAGATCAAAGAGGTGACATGGTTGAGCTTAACATCCTTCTGCAGAGGACAAGGAGACTGACAATATGGAGAGGTGATGCATCCCATGAAACACTGGTGACTTGCATGTGTGACTGATGCCAGAGCTCCAGCTGCTGGTCTCTAACCCTCACCTCCAGGGGGGCACTTCTCCAGGGGAAATACTCTGTTTTTTACAGGGGAAATCATTACACTGACTCTAAGCCTTTGATCTTCGTTGCAGCCACAGAATGGATTGGTGTCTCCTCCCGGCCTAAGGCAGTGCTTACCTCTCACTGCTGTTTCGCCATTGGACAGATGATTTTGGCTGGTTTGAGTTATGGGATTCGCAACTGGAGGCTGCTGGAAATTGCAGGATCTGCTCCTATATTGGTCGTTTTCTTCTACATTGGGTGAGTGGGGTGTGGACAGAGCTTCTGTAAGACAGAACAGCGGTGTGAGGGGTGGAAGTGAGGAGGCAGCAGCAGCTCAGCACCAGGATGGGTCTTTCCCATCCGTGCAGATGCTGGAAGAGCTTCTGCAGAGCTCAGCACATCTCCCTGAGGCACTGGACTGCTGAGACCAGCAGCTGCTTTGCTTCAGGTCATCAAATGTGGCCTTTGGAGCCTAAATGTAGGGCATTTAGACCCATCCCTCCCATGGGATGCCCACTGCTTGCGGGACGCGGTGACAGAGAAAAGGGCTGTGGGGGAACTCTGCGGGTCAGAGCAGCATGTGCTGAGCTCCCCTCCTCGGCAGGGTGCTCCCAGAGTCAGCTCGGTGGCTGGTGACAAAAGGCAGGATAGAGGAAGCCAAGAAGCTCCTTCAGAAGGCGGCGGCCACCAACAAACGCAGCCTCCCGGAAGGACTCCTGGAGCAGGTACCTGTCCGGGCACAGGGAACCGCGGCTTGTCTGCAGAGACTTCCCTCTGCTCTTGGGCTTGCACGGCCCCTGGAGCTGAGCTCAGCCCAGCTGCATCTTTCCATGCCCCCTGGGGATGAGTTGGGGATGCACCGGGGGTGACTCCAGCTCCAGCTGCGATGGACACAGACAAGGTCAGGGAAGAGGCAAAGCTTCTGCTGAGGCTCAGCCTGGAGCTTTCTGGGGTCCCCTTTGGGCTGTGGAAGGGACTGAAATGCTTGCCTGGCTTTTCTCCTGTGAGGGTTGCAGGAGTGTGGGTCGTGAGCATGTGGACTCTGTTTAGTCTGTGGGTTTCCATGCATAAATGCCAGAAGGGGAGTTACTTCCTTGTCCACCCCAAAGCTCCTACACTGGGGAAATGTTTATCCCACAGAATGTCTTGGTCACCAACCCCTTGCTGGGCACCCAGGGCACAGAGGCAGGAGCCCTCACTGGGCTGTTGTCTCTCCCAGAGCAGTGGAGGTCACCAGCCTGTCCCCTGATGCTTTCCATTGATTGCAGATGGGAAAGCAGCTGGCCATGGGTTACCTTTGCCTGCTTTGACTCTTTGACTTTCTTTGTTTTGAAGTTGAAGCCTGAGAAACAAACCAAGTCTGGAAGTCTTCTGGATCTCTTTCGGAAGAAGCACCTCCGGAAGGTGACTTTAATCATGTCATGTGCCTGGTAAGACATTCCCTGCTCCCCTCTTTCCATACTTCAAGGTGAAGAAAAGAAAGGATTGATAGTCATTCACCTTGTGGTTTTTGAGTGTTATTGATGGTTGTCTCTGTTTCTGGCTGTTTAAGATGCTCTGTGGTTTGTGGGACAGGTTATAGCATTTCCACTTTTGGCAGTCCTGTGGTATTCCTCTGGTTTTACATCCCCTTGGAAGTGCTGTGGCTTGGTCAAAATGTCACTGGAGATCAATATTGCATTTCCTCATGGCTAATAGATGTGCTCAGAGCCACTCTGCCTTGATTTCAGGTTTGTGAACAGCTTTGTCTACTATGGGCTGAGTCTGAATGTGACAAATTTTGGCCTGGACATCTACCTGACCCAGCTTGCCTTTGGAGCAGTGGAAATCCCAGCCCGTGTTGGTTGTATCTTCACTCTGCAGTGGTTCGGGAGGAGGAAGACCCAGACTGTTCTCCTGCTGCTGAGTGGCGTGGTGTGTCTGATCATCACTGGCATTCCTGAAGGTGAATGGCCTCATTCTGTGCTGAGAGGACACTCTCTGGACCGGGAGCCACAGAGCCCCAGCCCTTCCCTTGCTGGTGCAGGTCCTGGCCTCCCAACCAGACTGGATTACATTCCTCAGGGCCTGAGCTGTCAGGGCCTGGTGCCATGGCCACGTGGGACTTGGTTAATCCCCTAGGGACCATTCCAACCAGCAAACTTGCACTTGCCAGTCATTAAAGCAGCAGGTAGAGCTGAGCCCAGTATGCCACTTGTCAGCAGAGCTGTCCTCTGGGAAAATTAATACCTGGGGAAGTGAGATGACGGATGCAGAGTGTGCTGAAGATGCCACTAGGCCAGAGCTGCTCAGTCCATGCTAGGCAGTGGAGGTGATGGTCCCTGCAGGTGACACAGTTGTCACCGTGCATCCCCAGTGGCCAACTGTGAGCGGTGCTGAGCCCTCCCTCGTCCCATAGCAGTGGTCTCTCCTCCTTCCCTCAGATCAGCCCCTGGCAACCACCATCCTGGCCACCATTGGCAAGTTTGCTGCCTCAGCCTCCTTCTCCACCTCCTACGTCTACACAGCAGAGCTTTTCCCCACGGTCGTCAGGTGAGGTCTCCCCACACACCAGGGCTTCCCTCTGCCATGGCTGGTGGTACTGATGGCTCAGGTCATCCTCAAGGCCACGCCCAGTCCCACAGTGGCCTGGAGTGGCTGGTCCCTGCCCAGACCCCCCGCTGCCCCTCGCTCCCCAGGCAGACCGGCGTGGGGCTGTGCTCGATGTCGGCGCGGGCGGCCGGGATCCTGGCCCCGCTGGTCCGGCTCCTGGGGCAGTACCACGAGGCCATCCCCATGGCCATCTTTGGGAGTGCCCCCGTGCTGGGGGGGCTGCTCTGTGTCCTGCTGCCTGAGACCCGCGGCATGGAGCTGCAGGATGACACGGAGGACGGCCAAACCCGGGCTGAGGTGGGTACCTGGTGCTGCCTCTCGGGCGGGGACACGGGGTGCCAGCACACTGCACGGGCTGGGGGGTTCTCAGAGGGGCTACAGCGGTGGGAGGGCAGGCAGTGGGACTTTCCCACTGTGGAGGGAGGGGAAGAGACCCTATAACCCTGCCCATGGTTGTCATCCCTTCATTCCTGCCCGCGGGATAGAATGGCTGGTGCTCCACTTGTCTCTCTCTGCCCTCCTCAGGGAAGGGGTGGTGCCTCGTAGCCATGTCCTTTGGATTTCACCCTCTCATAACTCCCACCCCCATTTCCCATGGGATCAGGTGGAATTGCACTCCAATGCAATTTGTTGCCCTGCTGGGAGAAGGGTGTCCACAGGCACCCAGAGATCAAGGCGGGATTAGGATCCAGGTCGCTGAAGGCTGCTTGTCTCGGGGATGACTGCCATCAGCTCACAGTGCACTTTTCTTAGCTTTTACACCATTTTACACCCTTTTTCCTTTCATTAGGTCTACGAAAATGGCACCAGCAGCTCTGAGAATGGACAGGTGAAAGGAAAGGATGGTGTCCAAGTCAATGAGTGCACAAAGACCACTTACTTCTAGCTGGGTCTGCAGGGGTCTGTAGCTGAAGGCAGCCCGGTGCTGTGTGGGCACTGAGGGCAGGCAGGGTCTGTACCACAGGACAGCACCACCACTCAGGCTATCACTGCCAGTTCTTGGCTTTCCTTGTCCTTTTTGCCTTCCTGTATCTCCCTCTATAGCTTGTCCTCAGGCACTGCATCCTGTCACTGGTGTCCGGCAGTGCTCCCGCTGGAGAAAATCGGGTGCTTTTCATTTAAGGGAAAAAAAGAAAGAAGTCAAAAACCAGAATGGGGACTTTTTTCTCTTCATTTTTCCTGTCTTGTCTCCAGGAAGGTGAGACTGTAAACTCTGTCCAGTGAGACACCTGAATTGAATAGAGTTGCAAGAGAGCACTGTGCTCACTAACAGGAGAACTAGAGCAGATGCAGCACTGAGAACATTCTCACTCTTGCAAAAAGGAGTGATTTATCTTGACTGTCTAGCAAGGTTATCCCTCTCTCTCATAAAAACACTCCTTTTTATTTTTTAAAATTTGAGATATTCAGCTGAGAAAAAAAAATGGTGTGATGGAAGAAACAGCAAGCAGGCAACAAGGACATCTAACAGGCAGATGAATTCTCACCTTAGTGATGGTGGCTTTGAATTGATGCCTGTTGTGGTGCTTTGGGCATGGGAAATGGTGCTGTTGGGCTGCAGTGTAGGGCCAAATTAATTTGTCCATTTCAGGAAACTGAGATGTTGTGGCAGTTGGGCTCTTAGAAGAAAGTGCAAATCTTTCTGGGAAATATCAGCTTTTTCTACTCTGTTTTAGTCTATTCATTCTTGGTGGATCCGTTTCAGTCTTTAAATGATTTAGGACCACTTTTGCCTTATATTGTGAAGAAAAAACAGGTGTTTTTCCTGTGATCCCCTTTCTCTTATCTTCTGTCCCTCAAGATAACTTTCTTTTCCCATTGGTTTGGTACAGATCAAGTGTGGAAGTTGCACATGGTGGCGCTCCATCTTTGCCTGTACAGCTCAAAGGCTATTTTCTGGTAGTGTCAAGAAGCTTTTAAACCAGAAAATATTTTTTCTCTCTGTTGTCATGCCCATGTGTTTTCCATGGACCAAAGCACCTCATGGATAAGCAGTTTGATGAAGACAAAGTTTTGTATAAAATTGGTGCCATGTGACAATGTCCTGCCAGGAGGGACTGGCTGTGGTGCCCTCTTCTCTCTGGGTCTGCTTTTCAGAGGATGTGCTGTGGTGCTCCTCTGCAGTGCCCTGAGAATAGAGGAGCTCAGTCCTTTGCCCAAGGGCACTCTTTCCTTGGAAAAGGCTGTGGGCTGCCTCCTTCAGGCTTTTGTGGAAAACAAGGCATTGAATGTAAAGGCTGGGGGAAGAGCTTAGAGCCAAATGTACAGTACTGAGGAAACCACGATTTCTTTTGGGAATTGTGCTCTGAGATTCTCTGGTTTAGCTCATTTCATAAATAAAGGCATCCAAGCAGAGCTGATGTACTTCTGCTTCCATATCATTTGTGCCTCCAGTAGGCTGAAGATCCATTTCATAGAACCCCAGAGTGGTTTGGGTTGGTGGGGACCTTAAAGACCATCCAGTTGTCAAAGCCCTGTCCAACCAAGTCATGGCTGGAGGGCTGTGGGATGGTGCTGAAGGTCCCAGTGCTGAGCACATGCCAGAGACTCCATGAAGGGTTTGCTAAGACATATCAGTTAATGTCCAAGCCTTCTTAAGGCCCTCCTATATCAGACATGGGAGCGAGGCCCTGCTCCTGCTCTTACACCCTCACTTAGACCTCTCTGTATTTCAGGTCACAACCTCTTGACGTCCATTTCCCCTTTGGAGGAGACCCAAATTCATGCATCAGAGCCTCCCCACTGCTGAGGAAGCTGGTCAGGCAGATCCAGAGGTATCTCAGGCATGGAGGGGCAGCAGAGCCTGGCCTGGCCCTGTTCCCTGATGGGAGCTGTGGGGCAGAGCAGCTCCTGTTGCCAGGGGAGCCCCACAAGGACCATAGAGATAATTGGGACACCCTTGGTGTCAGCCAACTGTGAGGCAACCCTGACTCCTGGCTGTGGGGCAGAGGTGTCAGGATCCTTGATCTTCCCTTTTATCTAGAGGACATTGCCCTCTCCTTTCACCTGATCCCACACTGGGAAACCACAGGTCTGTGAGCGGAGCAAAGTTTGCAGAAAGGGACCCAGCAGGGAATGGCTGAGGAGGTGAGGAGATGAGCATTTAAACTGCTCTCCTGAGTCTGGGCAAGGAGTCATAGAATTGTAAGTTCACTTATGTTGGAAAAGACCTTTAAGGCCATTGAGACCAGCCATCAACCCAGCACTGACAGGTCCACTGCTAAACCACATCCCTAAGTGACACATCTACATGTCTTTTTAATAAAGGGGTAAAAAGGAAGGAAAGCACTGCCAAGGCCACCACTAACCTGTGGCCCCAAGTGCCACATCAGGGTTTTTGACTCCACCACTGCCCTGGACTGTTCCAGTGCTTGACAACCCTTTTGGAGAAGACTTTTTTCCTAATATCCAATCTAAACCTCCCTTGACTCAACTTGAGACCATTTCCTCTTGTCCTGTTACTTGGGAGAAGTGATTGACCCTTTCCTTGCTACATCCTCCTTTCAGGTAGTTGTAGGGAGCAATAAGGTGCCCTCTGAGCATCCTTTTCTCCAGGCTGAGCCCCCCCAGCTCCTCATCAGACCTGTGCTCCAGACCCTTCCGAGCTCTGTTGCTCTTCAGTGCCAAAGCTCAGATCTTGGAAGCTCCCCATCTCCAGCCCTGACCAGGTTACATGTGACTCTGGGGTGATTTTGTGCACCAGAGCCAAGGCACAAAATGAAAATCACCTTCAGGCACATCTGGCCTGTACTTGGGACACCCTGGCCTACAAAACACCACTTAACTACAGCACAAAGTGATAGAAACGAAAGGATGCATCAAACTTGTGTGACAAGACTCCTTCTTCAACCAAGAGTAGTGATGTTGTTTGAGGAGATGACTTCATGAAAGGACTCCAAATATGTTCTCTGCTTGCAAACAAGTTAGTACAGGAGAGAAGCTCACTCTTTTTTGTCTTTTCATGACAATAGATGACACTAAAAAGTCATGACTCAGCTGTCATCAGCCAACCAAGCTCACTATTAAAGGCTGACCATGATGAGGAAAGCTGCCCAGATGCCCACACAGTTTAATTGACATCGAATTGCAGTGTACTCCACACAATTCAGAAAGCTTCCACAGCTGCCAGTAGAGAAAATAAATACAGGTTGTTAGTCAGAAGACTTTGAAAAAAGAAAAAAAGTCCTTATTGGACTCAGTCATTCTGCTTTAACACTCTGCTCTGCATTGTTTGTGGCTGATGGAAACAAAACACATTTCCATCTGCGTACTAAATTACAGACTTAATGATTTCTGTGTAGAAAACACTCCAGAGCCAAGAGCAGTTACAAAGGCCAACTGTGAAACAGTAGGAAAAGAAAAAGAAAAAAAAAAAAAAGAGTCAACACCATTTATTATTCACATATTGCATTACAAGTGTCTCTTATCAAACTCAGAGCATAATTTATATTATTCATGTAGAAACTCAACTTCAACACCACATAGAAAGAAAAGCTAAATACGTGTGTGACGGGGTTTCAGTGACATCCTGATCAAACGTGGGGGCTCGGCCGGCGAGGAGGTGCCGGCCCAGGCCGTTAGTGCAGGAGGGACACAGCCCGGCGCCCGCTTGCCCAGTACAACCACTCTGCTGGCGATTCTTTATTGCTGTAAAACACGACAGGGGTGGTTCCAGGGGTACCAGTTTGCGAAGGACTGGGAAAACACATCGGGAGGACTCTCTGCGCAGCCAGGCATGGCAGAACCGGGCTTGAGGAACAGTCTGAAGTGCGTGTTTCCCAAACACAGGGTGACACAGATCTCCTCTCCCTCTGACCATGGGTATTGTGTTCATCATCTGAAAGACCAGTTTCCAGGCAGCAGTGCCTCCCTGGCCGGCTTCAAGAAAGACTGAATCTGACTAGACCATTAGTGTGTGCCTGTCCAATCATGGCTTGATTTCTGAGCACCTTCAGTTGTCCTTCTCCAAGTCTGCTTCCTCCTCTCTGGAGTCTCTCTTAGAAAACTCTCTTAGAACCTCTCCACTCTTCTCTTTCTGAAGAGAAGAAGGAAAGAGGAAGAGTCAATACGGTTTTCATCCTGGTTTCTGGTATTTTTTCCTTTACCTTAAATTTGCACCTTTGGATGTTTTTTTTCCTTAAATTCCGAGTTCCTTGTACCCACCTCAGCTGGGGTTTTGCCCTTCCCTGTGTCATCCGGCAGGCTGACGCCACGGGTCTCAGGCAGCAGGATGCAGGACAGTGACACAAGCAGGGGGATGCTCCCGAAGACGGCCATGGGGATGGCCCGGTGATACCGGTCCAGGGGGATGATCAGCGGGGCCAGGATCCCGGCCACCCTCGCCATGGTGGAGCACAGCCCCACGCCGGTCTGCCTGTGGGAGCGAGGGGCAGTGGGGGATGTGGGCAGGGATCAGCATCCCCTGGGACTGAGGGCAGCTGTGGGGACAGCTGGGCTCTTGTCCCATCCCCACCACCAGCCATGGCAGAGGGAAGCTCAGATGTTTTGGGAGACCTCACCTGACGACCGTGGGGAAGAGCTCTGCGGTGTAGACGTAGGAGGTGGCGAAAGCGGTCGTGGCTGTGAACTTGCCAGTGATGGCCAGGACAGTGATGGCCACAGGCTGGTCTGAGGGGAGGAGGAGACACCACCACTGTGACCTCAAAACTCTCTCCAGTATGTTTTCTTGGGACACTCCTTTCTGATAGACTTACCAAGCAAATCTTGGCAAGTCGAGGACAAAACCCAACCCTTCGGAAATTGTCCCTAGCATACCATTACCTGGAAAATATCCTCTGGAAAGCTGGCAAAGAGAACACAGATTACTCCTGAGTTCTTGGGTATTCCCTAAATCTGCAACTGATGTGAGCTACTGAGCCACCTCAGGTGTTTGGGGGAGTGCTCAGCTGGGAATACCACATCCCTGAGCTTGAAAGCATCATGCAGCCCCTCTCTTTCCTTCCCAACCTTACTCCCAGCAGCAGGGGTGAGGGTGTGGACTGCAGCAATATGGCACAAACAGATGTGGAGGGTGGGCATTTGTTTTTTTCTGTTCATCTAAAAGAAGGGGAAAGCAGTGGATTTTAAAACACCTCTTCTGCTACACCTTTCTGCCAGAAGGTGCTGGAGGTGATGGCTGATGGACATTGCCTGCCAAGGGCCAGGAGCTTTGGAAAGATCAGGCACAGCCCTGAAGGAGAAGAAACTGAAGCTGAGGGGGAACCAGCGTATTGGGAATGCAGTGCCCTGGCCTGTGGCACTCAAGGCAGCTCAGCCCCTGGGAGAGAGCTGTGGCCAGCTGGGCTGGGAGGATGGGTCTGAACAAGGATAGGGATCTGTCCAGCTCTGCTCATGGGTTGGGAAGAGGTTATTCACCTTCAGGAATGCCAGCGAGGATGAGGCACAACAGGCCAGACAGCATCAGGAATGCAACCTGCACTTTCTTCCTCCCAAACCACTCCAGCAGGAAAATGAGGCAAACTCGACCTGGAAACTCCACGGCCCCAAAGGCCAGCTGTGTCACGTAGATGTCCAGACCAAAACCTGTCACGCTAAGGCTCAGTCCATAGTAGACAAAGCTGTCTGCAAACCTGAAATTCAAGTAAAGTGGAATAGAACATGTCACCAGATGGTTTTATGTGGACTTAACATCAAAAATTAGGATGGTTATACCACACACAACTTATTTGAACTCTCAGCAACCTCTGTTTTGCTTCTTGTCACCACCTGTGACAGTTCTGTGGGACGTAGTTACATGAGATAAAGCAGAATGGACCCCCATATGGTCAGCAACTTCTAGACTGAACCCAAAACTTCTAGGTAGGCATAAAACTACTCCGAGGCATAGGGATCACCAAAATCTGGAATTACTCAAGCCTTTCTAACAAAACCCACAAAAAGTATAATGAATAATCATCTTCTCCCCATGGCCAGGCATGGTAAATCTGGTCCATGGGGAAACAGAATGACAGCAGATAAAAAAATACATGTATATATGACAACCAAAGTCACATGAAGTGAATTTACAGTTCTTGTCAACTATCAACCCCTTCTTTTCTTCACCTTGAAGTATGGAAAGAGGGGAGCAGGGAATGTCTTACCAGGCACACGACATGATTAAAGTCACCTTCCGGAGGTGCTTCTTCCGAAAGAGGTCCAGAAGACTTCCAGACTTGGTTTGTTTCTCAGGCTTCAACTTCAAAACAAAGAAAGTCAAAGAGTCAAAGCAGGCAAAGGTAACCCATGGCCAGCTGCTTTCCCATCTGCAATCAATGGAAAGCATCAGGGGCACAGGCTGGTGACCTCCACTACTCTGGGAGGAAGGGCAACCCCACGAGGGGCTCCTGCCTCTGTGCTCTGGGTGCCCAGCAAGGGGTTGGTGACCAAGACATTATGTGGGATAAACACTTCCCCAGTGTAGGAGCTTTGGGGTGGACAAGGAAGTAACTCCCCTTCTGGCATTTATGCATGGAAACCCACAGACTAAACAGAGTCCATATCTTCATGACCCACACTCCTGCAACCCTCACAGGAGAAAAGCCAGGCAAGCATTTCAGTCCCTTCCACAGCCCAAAGGGGACCCCAGAAAGCTCCAGGCTGAGCCTCAGCAGAAGCTTTGCCTCTTCCCTGACCTCGTCTGTGTCCATCGCAGCTGGAGCTGGAGTCACCCCCGGTGCATCCCCAACTCATCCCCAGGGGGCATGGAAAGATGCTGCTGGGCTGAGCTCAGCTCCAGGGGCCGTGCAAGCCCAAGAGCAGAGGGAAGTCTCTGCAGACAAGCCGCGGTTGCCTGTGCCCGGACAGGTACCTGCTCCAGGAGTCCTTCCGGGAGGCTGCGTTTGTTGATGGCCGCCGCCTTCTGAAGGAGCTTCTTGGCTTCCTCTATCCTGCCTTTTGTCACCAGCCACCGAGCTGACTCTGGGAGCACCCTGCCGAGGAGGGGAGCTCAGCACATGCTGCTCTGACCCGCAGAGTTCCCCCACAGCCCTTTTCTCTGTCACCACGTCCCGCAAGCAGTGAGCATCCCATGGGAGGGATGGGTCTAAATGCCCTACATTTAGGCTCCAAAGGCCACATTTGATGACCTGAAGCAAAGCAGCTGCTGGTCTCAGCAGTCCAGTGCCGCAGGGAGATGTGCTGAGCTCTGCAGAAGCTCTTCCAGCATCTGCACGGATGGGAAAGACCCATCCTGGTGCTGAGCTGCTGCTGCCTCCTCACTTCCACCCCTCACACCGCTGTTCTGTCTTACAGAAGCTCTGCCCAGCTCCTGCTTACCAGATGTAGAAGAAAAGGAGAAACATAGGAGCGGATCCTGCAATCTCCAGCAGCCTCCAGTTGCGGATTCCATAGCTCAGTCCAGCCACCATCATCATTCCGATGGGATAAGCAGCCTGAGCAATAAGCACTGACTGTGGCCGGAAGGAGATTCCAACCCACTCTGTACCTGGAAAGAAGAACAAAAGTTCGGGGTCACCCTTTCCAAAACATGTCCAGCTCTTTTTTCTTATTGTATCTTGTGAGGCCACAACTGCTGCTTCAGGGCAAGGGCATCCTACTCACCCAGGGCCACGACAGTAATCATAATTCCTGACGCTGCAACCCCCACGACAAACCTGATGGCTATGTAGACATAGAAATGGGGCACAAAGGCAGTTCCTAGACCAAACACGCCCTGGAGGAGCATGCAGATCAGAATGACTGGCCGGCGGCCGATCCTGTGGGAGAAGAGAGAAGACACAGTTGGTATCTGGAGAAACTCTGTGGGGTTAGGGAAGATCCCAGGTGGAATACCAAGTGATTTGAAAACCAGAGGAGATTTTACATCCCTGTGAACAAAGTTCCTCTATACAGCCCAAGAAATAACATGCACAAAAAGCAGCATCTCTACTTTTGAGCTGTCGCTCAAAGGCTGAGACACCAGCTGGGGCTGGACTTGTGAGTCCTGAAAGACCTCCCCACAAGGCTGTATCTGCCCCTCTCTCTTTTCAACCATCAGACATTTACAGATGTGCCAGGTGGCCCCAGATGCCCTTGCTCAGGCAAGGGGATTGAACCTGTGGAGGGAGTAGTTCATGACTAGTGCAAGCACAGTCTGCACCCTCAGCTGGGCTGTCCCTGAGTACTGGGCAATGACTCTGGGAAGGTGACCGTGTTTCCTCACCTGTCACTTAGCACCCCAAAGAGCATGGCTCCTACGAGAAGCCCAGCCATGTAGATGGACTGGGAGATGTCGTTCAGGATCGTCCTTTCACACACCAGGTCAAACTGGAGGAGGGAAACAGAGATGCTGTTTGTTTTTGACAGACCCCAGCTGCTTTCTGAGTGTGGGCATCCTGTCTGGTCCATGGTGGATCCAGGAGCTGCCACAGCTCTCACTCCAGCCTCTGGGAGCAGAGAACCCCCTCACAGGGACATGAGCCCTCTGTGGTGTGCACATAGGGCACAAATCAGAGGTGGGACAGACACATGGGGTGCTCAGCGTGCCTCTTCATCCTGGTGCACATCTGAGTGCTGGGATCTGCCCAGGCATTCCTGAGGGAGCCTCCTGCTTGGCAAGCTTTGCTTAAAGGGTGACCTTGGGATAAGAGTTGTAGCAGCTCCACTTCTCTGGCTGCAAAGGCAGGATGGGGTGGAAGGAGGAGGAGAGAAGGAGAGCTGTGTTTTCTCTGGTAAAGGAGGACCAGCATAGGAATGGGAGGGGATGCAGCAGCTGCTGAGAATCCTACAGAGAAGCTGGCTGTGAAATGGATGTGGTGCTCCAGGGACACCAAGGAGCACTTGCAAATGCCAGAGGCTGGACTCTCTCCTCTGGCTGCAGCTCAGAGGAAGGTACTTGAGAGAAAGTGCTGGAGCTGGGAGGGAAAAAAGGAGGGAGAGAGGGAAGAAAGGAGGGAGGAATGAGGCAAGGTGAGAGAGAAACAGAATTCCAGAGAGGGAGAATCACAGAATCATCTAGATTGGAAAAGACCTCCAAGATCATTGAGTCCACCCTTTGATCACCCCCTTGTCAGCTAGAAGGTGGGGGATAAAGCAGAACGGAGAAGTTGGGAATGCTGACAGACAAAGCCTTTGCTCAATTGCATAGCCCATGGAATGTCTTGTTGCAGCCCTGAAAGATTCCGGAGGCCCCAAAAATATCAATGACAAGTCCTTGGAAGGTAAATGTCTTTCACAGAGAAGGTGATGTGAGTAGAGCCAGGCTGAAGAATAGGGGAAACTGTGGCAGGGACACTCAAAAGGTCCCTCCTGGCAAGACCATATGTTCAAGGGTCTGGATACCAGAAAGGGAAGAGATGGTGGGCAGACCATGTCATGGACTCACACCCCCATTGTCACTGCCTGTGCCCTCCCTGGGCATCTACATCATGGTCTTCCTGCAAAAACCTCCCAAGGATTTCAGCTGTGATCTGTGTGATGGAGGTGAAATCCTCCAGTGCCTGGTAAATCTCAGCCTGGCTGCACCACAGCTGGCATTGGCTGACCAAACCGCAGGACAGGACACACCCATCCCTTCCCTTCATGTCCCCATCTCGTTAAAAGGGGATTACAGACCTCGGTCAGCAGGGATGGTGGCTCTGCTGGGTACACCCAGCCATTGCTGCACTTCTGCGTGGCGTTCAGGCCGTATGCCACGATGGAGTCCAGGTCCCAGTCCACCGGGGAGTACATGGAGCACTGCTCGTACTTCCCGTCCGCATCCCGGGGCAGGGTGAGGTTCAGCTGCTCTTCCTGTGTCAGGTTGGGGCCGACGGCGCGGATCCAGCTGGTGTTACAGTGGTGGGGCACATCCAGAACCATGAACACTTGGCCAACCATTTGGAAAGGATTAAGAAGGAGTGGGAGGGTGAGCAACAGTATCAGTAGTTTCTGGTATAGCCCAAACTCCCCCAGAGCACTTATGACATCTCCGAAATCAGCCATGGTGATTACCTCTCTGGCCAGACTGTGCTAGTGCATCTGGCTTAAATAGGCAAATATTAATGTTTAAGCTGTGTCAGCACTAAACCCCTAATCCAGTGTGATAAAACAAGCACCTGTACCAGCACGTTCATCATTATGATGATATGGTGCTGTCCTCCAGGGCGTACTTTGTCACCAGCCATTTCCTCCTGTTCTTTGCTCAGGAGCAGAACAAAGAGCATTGCCACTCTTGGAGACAGCACAGCAACAGTTTGTCTTTTTCCAGCCTGGAATTTCTCACAAGGCCTCCTGAAAGCAACTGTGCTGCAGTGCAAGGTTTTTGTCTGAGACATGAAGTTGTGACCCTACAAATGAGGGGTAGTTTTCCTGAGTGGGGCGAAACAAAAGGAGTGAATTTGCTGCTCCCATTCATGGTTATATAACCCATCCTGGAGACTATAGGAAAGGGAAGCAGAAAACCACTTCTCCTCTGGACCAGGAAATATGGCTGGTAGTCAAGTAGACTTGGCCTTGACAGCTGTGTCCCAAGCTGTCTGTTTTAATTTGCCCCGTGTAGAAATCCGGGTTAGTCATAAAACTAGACCTAAACTGCAGTGTCTTGAGGAGAATCCTAGAATAGATTTGGCTCAGGGAGTACCCTTAGGGAAAACAGCACGTTACACACACAGACACACGGAGCACAGAGGATCTGGGAAACCACACCAGCTTGGTTTTGCCTGAGGTTCTGATGTCACTTGAAAAGCAGATTGACCTGATTTCTGCTGCGCATCTGAGTCGCTTCCTAGGTAAACTCCCTGAGTGGTTTGTATCTTTATTCCTGCAAACTGGATAGCTTGATTGCACTCAGTGTATGAAATTTGGTGTTTACTTTGGAAAGCTCTCCTGACTGCTTTCACCAGAGCAATAAGGACAGGTCACTGACCTGCTCACTTCAAGTCTCCTCTCAAATTCTTTGTCCTTCCCTCTCAATGCAGACAGCATGTATGAGCCTCCAGCAAAGTTACTGAGGGGTCACACAAGCCTAGATTGATGTTTCATGCCTGGGAATGGTATTGTTGTGCTTATGGAAGTGGGAAGAGGGGTAGAATATTGGATTTTAAAGCATGACCTCTCACCAGGAGAGGGAGTGTGAGATCATACTGGTTAGTGCTATTAGTGAAGGAAGGGAAGAGTAAATGCTACTTATAGAGTTGTGTAAATTCACAGCAGTGGTGTTTGTGTATCATCTGCACACACCACACTGGGCTCTGGATCCACACCCTTGAGTGAGGGGGCTTGTTATTTTTCAGAGACACCCTTTGAACTGGAGTTTGAGCTACACAACCTCCAGAAATTCCTTTTGCCCTCTGACCTTTTTGTGGGATGACTTAGCCAGGGAGATCTGCTCTGGCAGATGCATTTTGACCCTGTCCTCCTCAACAGGGAGGAGGTGCCTTCTCCATCAGTGTGCAACAAGCTGAAGTTTTCAAGCCCACCCTGTTATGTGTGGCTCATGGTGTCCCCTCCCATTCCTCAGCCACCAGCATCTCCTGTGTCAAAGAGGTCAGATCTTGCCTATAAAAACTCCTTGAGGGTGATCCAGACCTGAATGCAGCCTCATGTGCTAATGCAGATGTGACTCCTTAAGGCTGTTCTTCCCAACATCACCAGTCAGGCACTTCTGAACCCCTGGGAGAGCTTCAGCCCTTTGTAAACTCTGTTACCCTCAGGTGACATTTCTCATAGAAAGACATTGGCCTCATCATGTGGGGCCAAATGTGTCAATCCCTACATGGCGGAGATCTCTCAGGGGCCAAGGCTGGAGCAGCCCTGTAAACCTCTGCTTCCTGGAGCAGATAAGGATAAGGATTCTGTGCTTGTTTCTCTATGTTCAGCAGTTTTACCCATGTGCATTACTAAGACTTGCAAAGCCTCTTGAAAATGGAGAAGCCTCTACCAGAGGAACCATGAGAAATCAGCAAGTCTCAGGGAAAACCTGGGATGGGAATTTGGAAAACCTGTATGTCCATGTCAAGGACTAGGGAAAGGGAGGAGGACCATCCAAGGAAGTAGTTCAGAAAGAGAAAAGAAACCACTGCCTGGGGAGGAAGCCTGGTGCAGGCAGCAGGGCATTGACATACTAATTCATGGACTTGTCTTTTCCCTTACACAGCTCTGAACATCAGGAGTGACTACAGTTGGAGACTCATTTGGACACCTATGTTGGGGTGAATTCTAGCCAGAACGGTTTCATACCCACCACCTGTGTTGCTCCTGCATTTTCCCCCTTCCTCTTAGAGCTGTCAGGGAGAGGTCAGGTTTATGAGTGTCACCTGGCAATGACAACTTGGTCTGGGTATCACTCTGAGCATCTTTGGCACAGGTACCAGGGCCACCCACTTCCCACTGCTCCAGTGGAAGGTGCTTGATCTCTGCAAACCTCTCCATCTCTAAGCACAGCTTGACCAGGTTTCAGGCAGGGCTGTGAGATGGCAGTGCCTCTATCCCAAACCTCTTGCCCCATCCTAAGGTGAGACCAACTTCAGCATCTAACGATTCATCTAATTTTCAAGGACATCCCTCTTTTCCCTGATCTGTGTTGATTGAGCAGTGTCCCTGCTCAGAGCACTGACACTGCTTTGCAGCAGATGCACTCATTGAGCAGCTTTATTCCTCCAGCAGACCTGACAGAGACGGGGTTATTCTGGCACTGGTAAGGCAGGAAAGGTTTTGTTTTCTTTAATTATCTTTATTTTAAAAATTAATTATTTTAACACCTTTTTTTTTTTTTTTTTTTACAGAGAGCTGATTAAAACACGTGCAGTCCCTATGATCTTACGACCTAAGGCACATGCAGTCCCTATGATCTATGATCCCTTCTGTAAGGCACATGTTCTCTCTTTGACCCTCTGAGGTCAAATTTACTAATTAATGATTAGTATAATTGTTAACTCCTCTAATATTTATGATTAGTATAGTTGTTGACTCCTCTAATATTTATGTTATGTAATCATGGCTAGGCTTCGTCAACAAAGATTAAGGAAGGCTCTATCCACATTTATTACAGGCATGCTGGTGGCTTATGAGGCCAATACGAGATAGGCATATCCGATTGCAAAAGGCACAGCAGAAAGACTCCTTAGATGGTGTATTCCACAAGACACGGTTCTTTCTGCGTTTTATGTTAGGTAATATTTGTGCAAAGGGCAGTCAGGGGGGATCAGAGTGCAATCACACAGGAAGAGCAGAGGTAGCAATGTCCCCGCACCACGAGGCTTCAAGACACCTGGGTTCCTTGTCCTCCTCTGCCCCTCTGATTTTGGCAAGGCCATTTCACTTATCTTTGCACGTCACTGTACAGTGAGGCTGATGGTGGTGACCTCTTGTGTGGAGCAACTTTGCAGTTTACAAAAGGAAAAATGCAGTGGGGGTTGTGAGATATCATCATAATTAAGTGTAGGCAAGTCACACGGTGAAATGGTGTATGATGTTTTGGGTTGGATTCATCTCTGGATGTCTCAGTGTAGTTGTCTACGTGTGAAACAGACCCCTAAGGCCACACTGTGGTGAGTGGAGATGGATTGACACAGTTCACAGAGTCCAGAGGGCTGATCCCTTTAAGTGCAGTTTTCTGGTTTAGGGTGGGCTGAATCACTCCCCAGTGATGCTAATGCTCCATTGACTCTGATGTGGGCTTAAGCATTTGCTTTACCTTGAAATGTTAATACTGCAGACACCTAAACCTAAACTTTCACCTTGTCCTGCTCAGCTTTGCCTTTGCCTATTGCATTTTACTTGTACACTTGTGGCCAAGGATTCAGTTCCTTCCTGAGACATTTTCTCTTCTTGTTCGATTTTCTAGTTCTTATTGGCTTGCTGTTCATGGCTGTGAGCTGGCTGGACCTTTTTGGTTCTCTGTCTTCCCTCCTCCATGCAGAAATCCTTTGAGGGACCTTGGCAGCAGCAGATCCCCTCTGCAGAAGCCCCCTGGCTGCAGAGAACAGGGAGTGCTGGTTGGTCTCTACTTGGAGGTTCCTCACACTGAACCCAGTTCTTGCAATGTTCTTTTTTGGGAACTGACCACTGACTCACTCTGGACAGGATAGAGAACTTAAATTTAGCTCCTTAAGGCATTAATAAATCAGTCTGTGCACAACTGAATTTGTCTTGTGCCAGAGGAGTGGGACATTTCTAAACTGATTTCATTAATTTCTTTTGGTCCTGTATCAGCCAACTTGTGCTGCAGGGCTGGGTGCTTTTCACCCTTTTTTTTTCAACTATATAAAGAACTCCTTCTCTGAAAGGTCATCATTTAACTCAACCAAGTCCTCAGAAGAGAGACTTGCATAATCTTCTTCAACTCCTGATGTTTTTCTGCTCCTGTTCATTTTTTCAGGAGCGTCCTGGCCTGGATCAAAGACATCCTGATTAAAGGTTTCAGAAACATGGCTGCTCAACATGCATGTTAAGGGAAAATTGTCTTCCTGTGTAGAGAGATGCTTGTTTCTTGAGTCTTCAGCACTGAGACCCAATCCAAACATTTCTTCTGCTGCCCTTGGAGCCTGGCACTGTGGATCCAGCTGCTGCAGCATTGCACAGCTCTGAATTCCTTCCAGGTCTCTAATATTAATCTCATCCTGACCATCAAGAAGTGAGAGACTGGAGGTGTCCCACAGCTCCAGTGGGGCATTTGTTTCTGCTGGGATTTCCTGGAATAATTCTGAAGTATTTGGATCAAAGAAAGGTGGATTTTCTGCCTCTGAGTTTTGCAAGTCTGAATTTAGGGGTTTACTTGCTATGCTGGGAAAATCTTGTCCTCCAGAAAAGAACAAGTTATTGTCCTCCAGAAAACCCACGTTGCCAAACTGCAGCTCAGCTTTCTTGGGTAACTTTTCTGAATTGCCTGGTGAAAAAGTTATCCCATCTTCTGTCACTGTGTCCTGGACATCCAAACTCAACAGGTTCTGGGCTTCTGGTGGATGAGCACCATGATGATTTCCTACCCTGGTGAGATTTTTGCTGTTGTCAACAGCAGGAGCAAGCCCTGGAGGAGGATGTGGAGGGTTTGTTCTACCTTCTGAGCTTTCTGCAGCTTGTTTCTGATCTTCCTGTGTTGTTATGAGAGGGGGCCAACAGCTGTCCCATTGCTGCCAAACCTGGCTATTTAAAGACAGTTGGTCATGAATGTCAAGTTCAGTTTTCTCGTGTTTATCATCATGTGACATGCTTGTGCCAGGAGCTAACAATAGGATGTCCGTCTCCTTGCCCTCAGCAGAGTCTGAGAAACCTCCAGAGCTCTCCTGGATATGTTTAGGGAAGACCTCCATCTTTCCTGGCTGTGGCAGCTGATCGTTCCTGGAAGCCTTTTGTTTTGCTTGGCTGGAGGAGCTGAGGAGGCTCTGGGGATTTTCTGTCCCGTCATCAATATTTGTTTTTTCTGAGGATCCTGCAGGTTTTTCTGGTGGGCTCTGCTTCTTCTCTGAGGAGTGACCAAACAGAGTGGCAAGGGCTGACTGGGGCTTCGTGGGTTTCCTTTGGGTTGTTGTTTCTTTCTTGGGAGCACTGCCTTTGTCTTCAGAGCCAAAAAGTGTAATGAAGGGATTTTTCCCGAACCTGAAACCTTTACCTGGTGTTTCTCTGCAGGCTTGACTGCTTCTGGTCTCCTTGCTCTGGGCACCAGTCTGTGACAGAGGCAGAGTTCTTTCCTCTAGGAGTTTCAGATCCACTTTTTCCTCACCCACTGGGTGGCCTCCGGATTTTTCCAAGGATATATTTGGTTTGGAATATTCTGATGTCTTGGCTGGTTGCTCAGAAATGTGCAAGATGTTTTCACTAAGGACTTCCCTGAAATCCTCTGACTTGGAGTTGATGACCCCATCATGTGAGGGGCAAGTGGCACAAGTTCCTTTCAGAGGTGTGTCTGTTGATCCTGGAAAATCCTTGCCAGGTGATTTAATGTCATGCCTCAAAATATCCTCATGAGTGTTAGTTTTCAGTGGGCCACTTGTGTCCCGAGGTTCTCTTTCTTGTAGACAGGACACACCATGATCATCTGTCTTCTTTGGCAAACCAGGTGAAGAATCTCTGCTCTTTTCTGCTTTGTTTTCCTGAGATGTGTGCTCAGCACCAGGCTCTTCCAGACAGTCTGACATACTTACTGCTTTCTCTTCTTTTGTCTTCTCAAATTCTGCCCCTTTGCTCTCAATTCCAGGCAAATCACTTGTGCTGGATGGCTGCCTACTTTCCCCCGAAGTTACTGGCATCTGTTTCACAGGGAACTCCTTGGTGTTTGCCTTTGATTTCTCATTCAACATTCCAGTGATCTCAGGTAATACACTCAGCCCTCCCAGCTCCGGGGAACCAGAAGATACATAAGAAGTCCTTGATATACCAGAGGGGGAATGGGCTTCTTCAGCTTCACTTTCAGGGGTGTCAGTACGCTCAGCTTC